ATTTTTTAATTAATTTTCTTATTTATGTATTTATTTTTTACATATTTAAAAAAATTAATAGACCCCACATAAGGGTGACATAAGGGTGATGTTTGTAGATTTCTAACTGTTTGGAAGGAGGGTGGGTGTGGTCGAGCGTATACATCGAAGGAAGAAAGTAGTCTACATAAATTACCTTTTTGAAGTAAACCTGCAATAGAGACCATATCCATCCCCTAACTTCTTGAAACACTATGGCAACCACCGTCGTTGACCATTATAAACGAAAAACAACCACCGTCGATCTGCACTCTGCCATCCACCATCGATCGCTTTATGCACCCTCCACACCGTTCAATCGATTTATGAATATGAAAAGTTTGCTTTTTCACTCTAGATTCTTTATCTACCCGAAATTCATTCTCACCCAGATAATCGATTTTGATTTTGGTTTAGGGTATTTAATCTGATCTGGTTCTTGAATTTTGTTTTTCATGTTGATTTTCATTTGTAGTTTAGGATTTTTCTTTTTATTTTGGTTGTAGAAGCCGATGAGGAGAAGTCGTCGAAGCGGAGATTGATCGGTGATTGGTGGCGGAGATGTGGTGGCCATGTTGAGGCATACTAGGGAGGTGAGAGATTGCATAAGAGTGGTGGTGGTGGTGTTATGGTGGTTTGAATGACCAAATATGAAGACGGAGGTGATAGGGAAGAGAGAAAGAGAGAAGGAGCGAAGGAGAAATGAAGAATGTTTCATTTCTTTTTTAAATAATAAATAATAATAATTAAAATAAAAAATGAGGGCAAAAAAGTAATTTCGCATAGATTTAACTGAAAACGTTAACAAAGTTAATCAAAAAAGACCATTTACGTACGAAGTTTTTTCCAAAAAGAGCATTTACGTACGAAGTTTTTTCCAAAAAGAGCATTTACGTACGAAGTTTTCTCCAAAAAGACAACGGGTGTGTAAGCTTTGCTCCATAAGGACCATCTATGCAAATAAAAGTTTCATAACGACTATTTTAAGAAAAAATTGAAAAAAATTAATACAATTTGTGAAACGTCGGCAAAACTACATAGAAATTAAATATTATGTAGCAAATCATAAAGTTTGCAGAATTAAATAGATTTAGAGAATCTTGATCATATTTAGTTTTTTTTTTCTTGATCACATTTAGTATGATTATGATCTCTATGTAAATAATAAGATCTTAATAACATTTTACATTTCACGGTTTGAAGACCTGATCGATATTTTTGTAGAAAAAAAGCATAAAATTATAATTATGTTTATCGAAAGGAATTTTGTTTGTTATTTTTCGATGATGAAAACTTTTTAAGGATTTTCTATAACTATACAAAATACCAAATACGATATAATTCAGAATTTCAGATTTACTAATTGCTGACAAATAACAAATTACACTAAATTTAAAAACCGCCGCCGAGGAGGGAAAATGGATACGGCGGCGGTGGAGGTCGAACGTCGGGATCCGTTGATCCGTCGCCAAAGTAAACGTTATTACCACCACCACCACCACCCGTATGGTTTGAGTACCTGTTACTTCCGTTCATCGGCTCTGATACGACGGGAAAACAAACACCGTCATCGCCGCCGCTACGGGTGTCCTTATTCCACAGCCAAACAGTCGACGGAGAAACAGGAGACGGCGGGGATCTCCATAACTGCTCGTTACCGTAATATCCATCCGATGATGAAACTACGTCTCCGCCAACTCTCTGGCAGCCGTAATCCTCCTCGCGTTTAATCGAATTTGATATCTGGAAACTCGACGATGACGGCCGCGACGTCGGAGGAGTGAGTAATCGTCGTTGCCTCTTTTTATCCATCAGTCGTTTAGATCGCTGAACCTTCTCAAGCATCATACGTGATAAAATCTCTGGATCTTCAGCGACTTTACAAAGCAACGCCATCATTTGCTCCGGCCGCCGCTCCGTCGCCTCAAGTCTCTTGTTCATCCCAACGAGCTCCTCTTCTAGTGCCTTCTGCTCCTGTTTTAACCTCGCAATCTCCATAACCATATCTTCCTCTTCCTCATCATCTCCTCGCATATTCCCCGAATATTTCCCCCTACTACTGTTCACTTGCCTCTTCCTCCCAATGTTCTTCAATAAATGCACCTGCCCTCTCAAAAACCACTCGTTCGCAAACTCCCATCGATCCGGATCCACTTTTCTGAATCCCTACATAAACATCGATCACAAATAAATCAGAAACACAAACAAATAAATTAAATATGAACGAAAAGGTATTTCAATTGCTTACGTAAGTATTGAGTTGGCGAATGAAACTGGAGAAATTATTGTGCTTAAAGTAAGCAGGTAAGAGGCGTTGTGAGAAAGCTAAAGAGTCAACGACGATGAAGCTGTTGTTGGAGTTTCCCCACCGGATTAGATCATCTATGGAAGAATCGTTGACCATCTGATAAGTTTTCATGATGAATGGTGCGATTACTTCGTTAGATTCCATGATTTTATGAACATAAAATGTCTAATTTTCACCTGAATTTCTTCTTCTAAAGTGAGCTAAATATGAACCAGAACCGGAGGAGACGAAGTGTGTGTTTGTTTGTGTGTGTATTTGTGTGATTTAACAAAAATGATTCCACGAAGAAGCATTGTGTAGCACTGTTAATATATGTGAGGACCACTTTTTTGGAAGTCGTACTTTGGGAGTCATATGAAACTTGAAACCGAAAGTGTATTTTATTAGAGCATCCACAAATATCTTTTTTCACAAAGTTATATTTTATTTTCTTGATAAATTTGCAAATTTGGTCCCGTAGATTGCCCAAAACTTAAGACTTTGGTCTTAGCTATTTTGGAGTTGTACCTGGTCTAATAAATTTATTTTGTTACAATTTTGGTTCGTCTCAAACTTGGAAGTGGAATGATTTTTTTTCTTTCTATTTACTTCACTATTTTTAAATTAAAAATGAAAATATACAACCCGCCCCATTCCTCTCTCTCTCTCTCTCTCTCTCTCTAAAACCATTAGATGATTTGTTCAACATACACACACTTAAGAACACAAAATTTGAATCACATACTTTATTTTCTGGGTTTGCTCTTCAACACACACGCACACACTTAAGAACACAAAATTTGAATCACATACTTTACTTTCTGGGTTTTCTCTTCAACACACACGCACACACTCAAGACAAGTTTTTGGGTTTGTTCAAGAACTATCGATTTCTGAAAATCACCAGATGGAGGAGATGAACTCAAACATATGTGCTCGATTTCAGAAAATCCACCCACTAATCTTTATTTTTCTTTTTTGACCACACCAACAACTTAGGAAACGAAGGAGATATCTCTATCTCAATCAGAAAATCCAGCTAATGCTCTTGCTTCTATTTCTCAATTTCAATCCTCCATCAAAATCCCACAGAGGGAAAGGGATTTCCTATGTTGCTTTGCAACCATCTTCTTCAGTAATTAGGTCGGGTCTCACTCCCTTTAAAATAAAACCTGATGGACCTCAAATCAGATTTGATGACCTGAAACCATAATCAAGTAAACCAAAGAATTGATTTTTCTACATGATACATGTAATAAATATAAACAGGAAATCAAATTCAATCCATAGAACTGAAAGCTCCATGAAATCAAACCTTATTAACTTAAACCCCCCAAATCGAACCCTTGGACCCGCGTCATCAAATCTAGAAGGGATGAACACAAATAGAAAATAAAAACCAGGAAAACCCCTCCACATGTAACTTAGTCCTGATCTCCTCAGCACCATCTCTAGTGAGAGAGAATCGATCAAAGTTTAGAACACCATTAGTGACGACATTTCCAGTGAGAGAGATTCGATCGAGCTTTTCGACTGGGTTTTTTTTGTATGTTTGCTACTTATGGTAGATGAGAAAGATGGACGGTCGGAGTTTGGAACAAGGGGTGAGGGGTGACGACGTTAGACATAGAGGAGGCAAAGGCGGTAGACACCGACGACAGTAGTGGTGGACTTGCAGGGTGTAGATGGACGAGGTGTTGTGGAGGGGGATAAGTGATTGAATCATAAGCAATGATGTCTTCTGCTTCCTCCCACTCTTTCGGGATGAATACTTTAGTCTCATCGGCTAATGTTTTCGATGATGAATCGATCGCCATTAACGTTGCTTCGTCTTTCTATGTGTGTGTGTGTAACGCCCGTAGATTCGGGATAGTCAATTTAGAGACGATAAGCGTCAAAAATGACTTTTTAATAGAAGATTATTTAGAATGAATAATCT